TAAGTGCACACCAGCCTGACGCCCATGGCCGAAGCAGAAGGCGGGCTGAGGACCACATGGAAGCCCACTCCAGTACCTTCTCTCCTGCAGATTCCAGAGGTGCCCTGACCGGTGATGGGGGCAGGACCACAAGCTAAAGGACTGGGATGGTGAAGCACAGGGGGAGCCGGGCAGGGCAGGGCCACGGGTCGGCGGAGATGGTGGGGGTGCTCCCTGCCAGCTGCCCTGCTGGGGGAAGAGGAGACAGGCAGATGGCTTGGGCTGTGCTAGGGCAGGAGGGCCGTGCTGCTTTCTCCTCTTCACCTGGTGTCACTGCACTCTCCACGTGTCCGGCTCCCCGGTCACTCGCTCACAGCCGGCCTCTGGGTCAAATGGGCCTGGGAGGTTGTCTGCAGTGGGACAAACCTGCTGGCATTACTGCCATCACTACAGCTGCTGCCCTGTTTCTGGAGGCCCCAGAGATTGGGTCTGCAAGATAGAGACACACTGCAGGGTGATCTGAGGTCTTCCATTCTAGAAGGCAGGGGATGGGGACAGGGCCAGTAAGTAGGGCAGAGGGACACTGCACTGGCATGCAGACAATGCCTTCGGGGCCATTCTCTTTAAAAAGCATTTTCCCTAGCTGTGAACTGTGACGCTGTGTGTGGGTGAGAACCTGAGGTGGAGGCCTGTGCCACCTAGAATGTTCCAGCCTCTCAGGATGTTCTAGGTGGAGCCTGACACCCACCTGGTCACTGTGACGAGTACAGGTCGCAGGAGCCAAGTGCTGGCGTGACATTTCCCCAGACGCAGGCCCTGCTTGCTGTCCTGCCTCAGATGCTCTCAGATGGAGACCAGGCCCCTGGGTTTCTCCCGCCTCTGGCCAGGGGGCACCTGCTGGGCCAGGCCCATCTGCCAGGCCCATCCGCCAGCCCCTGTGGTCCAGTCCTCTTCTTCGGGGTCTTCAGCTGGGACGTACGCAGGGCCTTTCCCATCCCACGGGGCTCTCTGCGGCCCCTGCCCCGGGTGGCCTCCCTCCCAGACCTGCCTGCTGTCGCCCCATCCCTCACCTGGTCCCCACCCATACTGGCTGGGTTATGTACACTCTGTGTGCAGACGTGCGGGGAGGGGTGCGTATACACATGGGCTACGGGGCATATATACACTGTGCATATATATATATATATATACAGCATATATATATATATCTTTTTACATTCATATATATATTGTACAGAACATTAACCTTCTACCAAAAACAGTTTTGTGACATCACATATGGCCTCAGCTCTGAAATTTTAACTCCAGGGCAAATCCAGGACTGAAAAATGAGAGCTTGATTCAAACTGGCACGGGGACAAGGAGCAGGGCCCTCCCGCCGCGGCAGGCAGCTGGGCCCGTTCCAGATGCGTCCGTCCCGCCCGGGAGACTGTTCCAGATGTGTCCATCCGTTCAAGACCTGTCGACAGAATTGGGCTCAGTTCTTGCGTCTGTCTGCGGGCCCGGGGCCCGTCCCAGATGTGAAGTCCATCCAGCTGTTTGTGGCGAGATCACCGGGCCCTTCCAGGGGGCTGTGCACACAGGGCCAGTCCAGACACGTGGCCAGGGTTTGGCCAACTTCCAGATGTTTGTGCATATCGCTGAGAATGGCTTGGGAAGGGCCCAGCTTCATGCTGGGGGATGAAGCAGCAGCTCGCAGACCTCCACACCGCACCCCTGGCAGAGAAGGCAGGGAGGGAGCCTCTGCTCTCAGCCCGGCCCCACCTCTGCTCTCCTCCAGCGCCAGGAGGGGGTGACTTCTCACCAGGTGGAACCTTCCGCCAACCCTGCCAGGGCCTTCCCCCCACCTGGGCTATCACTGCTGCCTGACACATGCACGGGGGAGGAGCCAGGTGTGCTCTTCTCGTGGAGGCAGTCTTGGCTGTGAGGTGGGGGGAGGCCCTCCAAGCCTTCAGGGATCCAGAGTCAGCTCATCTGCCCTCACCAGGGCATTATTCCTCTTGAGAGACATTTGCAGAGGGGCCATCTGAATGGTGATAACGCTGTCAGGGTTTTCTTATGTGTCCACAGCAGAGAGACCGGTAGCAGGTCAAGGGGAGAGAGAGGAGGAGGAGGAGGAGGGTTCACCGTCCAAAAGCCCCAGGGCCTTGGTGACTGGCAGGGGTTGGGGATGGGGGGTCTCCTCACTGCTGCCCCCCAATCTGGCCAGTCTGAGACGGTGGGAGATGGGGGTGGGAGATGGGGGCGATCTTTTGTTAAGGGAGGGCCAGACAAGGACAGTCCAGCACCCGCCCGGGGAGGTCCCATCTTTTGTTCTGCTGACACTGCCACGACCCCCCTCAGTGCTGCCGGGTGTGGGCACAGCCTCCTGCTGGGACGCCTGACCGAGCCTTTAACTCCTCCTGGTTGGCCTCCGTGGGAGCACCTCCTCCCTCCTCCCTCCCCCACTAGTGTCGTAGTGCCACCTGGCCCCGTCCATACCCGGGAAGACGCTCACACTCGGTCAGAAGTCGTCTCCACTGTACTCTCAACGCTGGGCTGGTCTCAAAGCAAACAGGGCACCAGCCGGGGTCTGCACATGGGCCACACAGACGGACATAAGGCTTGGGCGGGAGGGGAGGTCGGGCAGCGTCACCCACCTGCATTCGGAAGTCTAAAGGTCATTGTCGTTCCTCTTGGGGGACTCCTCTCATTGAACTGTGCCTCTGCCATCTACCTTTGTCCAGACGAGACACCTTCCCAACCCATAGGCCACTGCTCTCCTCCCCCATCAGACACGCTCATGGAGCACCATAGGCAGAAGCACATGATCTCGACAAATCCTTGTGACAAACGATCTCTCCCTACAGCAGAAGTGCAAACACACCCCGATCCCCCGCCTTCCTGATGGTCTATCTCTGCTCCTGCTGTGAACCGGAACACATGTGTGAGTTTGAACACACATGTGAGCAAGCCTCCCCCCCACCCCCCCACTACGGTTCCACGTGGCTTCGTGCATGCACGCATCGACCTGTGCGGCTCGTCTGTGGTCCTGTCCTCCGCCTCGCTCTCTACCGCAAATGCAAGCCCACGTGCACATGTGCACAGTCGCTCACACGTGGACCCCTTGATGACATGGCTTTTCCTTTTAAACATTTGGCAATGCTGCGGGTTTTATCCTGTCCTCCACTCTCTGCCATTGGTGCATAAATGTGCATGCATGTGTGCACACACACACACATGCATGCATGCACATAAGCACACCCACTCATGCATGCATGTGTACGTATGTATACCCCCCAGAACCCCATTAAGACATGGCTTCTCCTGTTTTTACATGTATGGGGCTCTGCTGCTTGTCCAGACTTGTCTCTCTCATCCTAAATTCACACACGTGTGCACACACACGTCGGAACCCAATGGATTCTATTATTGCGTGCCCTGGACTCTTGTCTGATGACCAAATCGGTCCTTCACCCCCGGTCCCTACAGCTCTCACACACACACAAAGATACACACAAATGCACACACACACAGACACACACGCACTCCTACACACAGCATGGCTTTTCCTGTCATTACATGTGTTGGCGATGCTGCATGTCCAGCTCTCTTCTCCTACCTCCAAGCACACAGCCTGTTGGAACTGCTGGGATTATGGGAACCAGCTGGCTTGGTCCTGCAGCCTACAGTTTGGAGGAGGAACAGTATTTATCACATGAGCCCACTGCGCTCTCCTGCTCTGGGAGTCCCTGGGGGGGAGCCAGAGATGATCCTTCACCCCAATTGAGAAGGTCCTTGAGATCTAAATGTAGCTCTTCCCTAACCAGACTCCCTAAGCAGAAGCAGGAGAGAGGTGATGGGGTAAAAACGAGTGTCTTCTGGGTCCCCATCCAGAATCTCCAGGCTTCTCTCCCCCGCTCAGAGACTGCCCTCGGCCCTTGGCATGGGAAGCCCTGCCGGCCTCGTCGTATTCTCTAAGGACACTTTGCTCCTAACCCTTCCATATCTCATTCCTTTTCTAGAATCTTAAAGTCACAAACTTGTAGAGCATCCATCCTACCTAGCTGGAACCCACAGGTCATCTGGTCTGGCCCTAACTGGTACCCCATCTGCTACTATTTCTTTGCTGTACCCCCAAACCCCACAAGGTCCAAGCTGCTCTGGACAAGAGATTGGGGCCTAGATGGCCTGTATCTCTATGTGGGGTCTTTGGTTAATTCTCCAGGAGGCAGCTTTTCTTTCCCTATCCTTGGGGCCTCTATGAGCTCCGATGTCCAGTCCCTGAAAACCTTCCTTTCTGGAGAGCATCTTTAGGTTTGGCAAGTCCAGGAGGCCAAGAATTCTTTAGGGCTCCTCTGGCTTTCCCCATCTACCCCAAAGTAGACCTGAATCCCTCTTTTGAAGAGGGGTGATGACTTTCACTTCAATCTAGGTTTCTCTTCTCCTTCCAAGATGACAGGGGAAGTCAAGGTCAACTGGCCAGGAGTGGGGAGTTGCTGATGAGTAACTGGCAAAAGAACTCAAGCTCTCAAATGCCACTAGGGTTTAGAAAACAGCTCAGTAACCAGCAAAATAAGCCATCCCAATGGCTCGAGGGCCTCTGGGATTTCCATGGAATCCACTGTTCTTCTGTCTTCAAATATGGACTGAATCTCTGGTCAGCCTTTGTGGGAGATTCAGGGGGTCCTCTATCCTCTGGCCAGAAAGTAGAAAATTTGCTCTGACCACTCACTCCCCCACTTTATACTCCTGGAGACCTCCTTGAGGGATGGGAGCCATTGGGACACTGTCCATAAAAATTCAAAATGGCGGCCTTTGTGCATTCTCCTCTCTCCCATACCCCAAACTCCTCTTTTCCTCTATGGAGCTCTCTGCCTTCAACTTTGCCAAGATGGGGGCTGCCATACATGGTGCCAGGTCCAAGAGACCAGGACTACGTGAGCAGCCCCTAAGGGATGAAGTTTTCTTCTGCCCAAGACATGTGGGGTGGCCATCCCCCATCTTCAGCTCCCATTGGCAGCCACACTACAATCCTTAAGGTACCCAAGGTTTGTGTCTCTGGGCTCACGGTCATGGCCCAGGAGGCCCGGGCTCACAGGGAAGGAGTGGCAACATACAAGCTGATTCCCATTTTCTTTGGCCTCTGCAGGGCCGGGGTAGAAACTTCTGACTGTGGAGGAGAGTCGAGGGGCAGGTGAGTTTGGCCTGAGAGAGGCATATGTGCTTCCTTTGGCCTTGGCTGTCTCGGCTGGCAGCTTTAGAAACCCACAGAAGAAACGAGAGGCGAGTGAGGCCCAAGTAGCTGGCCTGGGGCCTGCTGGTTTCCCAGTAGGTAAGGGCAGAGGGCTCCTGGCCCAGCAGGCAGGTGGCAGCTCTGACCCCCAAACCCAGCATGGGCACAGGGGAGGGGCCTTCCAGTCTCCTTGCTTTCCTCTGCCGTGCCCCAAGGCCTTCGGTCCCCACCCCACCTGGGCCTAGGGGAATACGGGGGCCAACGATGTGCTGCAGGCCATGCTGTCCTTGCCCGGAAGCCGGCGGTCGTTGAACGTGTGCATGTTGATGACAGCGTCAGTCTTGACCATCATGGGAGGCTGTGGCTTGTGCTTGACCCGACGCTGGCAGGTAAGGGAGAAACGGATCTCATCGGCTACGGTGCTGCAGAAGGAACGCTGGGGTGGGGTGGGGGGCAAGGGGCACATGGGTGAGGCCTGGTCTTGCAGCCCCTGCCAGCCCCTCCCCTTCCTCCCAGGGCTGTGCCAAGGCTGTCCCTCTCTCTCTCTCTCTCTCTCTCTCTCTCTCTCTCTCGCCTTTAGGCCTCCCACCCTCTGCCCAGATGACCAGTTTGTGAGGCAACCTACAAAGCGCAATGTCCTTGTTTGGAGGCTAAGGTAGATGGATCGCACCATCCCATCCCCGTTTCACAGATGTGCAAGCTGAGGTCCTGACTGGCATGCACATCAAGTTTGACTTTTCTCCACTAGATTCTGAGGGCGGGAACCAGCCAGCTTCATCCCTGTAAGCCCAGCTCCCAGCACTTGGCCTGGCCCCGTGTCAGACCTAAAAAACACCTGATGAATGTATGGGTCATTCTACCCCTGGGAGGGCTTCCCACTAAGGGGAAAATCCCCATGGTCCCACTTGGGAAAGTCCAGCATGTTTCTCCAGGTGTGCCACGGGGAGGGAGGTCCCCGCAGGGCAGGTGGGTGGCAGTGGATTCTGGCCTGGGTCCCTGTGGGTACCCGAAGGGGGTGGCAAAAGTGCAGCTTTGCCTGCAGGTATCTGATGGCCATGGCTCCTAGGAGACCAATGGCCAGAGCCTGTCCTGTGGCTCGTCTGGAAGGCAGTAGGGCTGTCGATAACTCGATTATGCAGTGAGGCCAGGGCAGGAGCACCCGGCAGCTGAGTGCTGGCTGTGCGGGGTAGGGGGGTCCTGGGCTCTGGCTCCGCCTCTTAGCGCTTTCCCTCCAAGCTTCCCCTTAACGACCCCGCTAATCTCTGGATAGCATCCCTCCTCACCTTCCTTTATTCATTCTAGGAATATTTATTGAGGCCCCACTAGGCGCCAAGCACTGTTCTGGGTGTTAGGCATACAGACGTGAAAAAGACAGTTAGGATCCAGCCCTCAGGGAGCTTAGGGTCTGCGAAGTGATAGCAACAGGTGATAAACCCGCCAACAAATATAACACCTCAGAGCATGGGAACTATTAAGAGAATAAAGCAGCAAAGTGGGATAGAGGGGTGCTGGCTGTGGGGGCAGGAGGGGTGGCATTTCAGCTGAAACCCGAATAACCAGAACATGCCAATAATGTGGTTTCCCAGTAGAAATGGGGAAATGGTGCTCCGGCAGGAGAGCGCTGCAGGCGGCTGGAGCAGCACATGCCAGGGGCCTGGGGCTGAAATGTGTTTGGTGCGTTAAGCACTAAAACCGAGTCTAGTGTGTGTGTGTGTGTGTGTGTGGATGGAGGAGAGTTAAGGGAGGAGAAGGGGGGCAGGAGAAAGTCTGACAAGTGGGCAAGGACCAGATCTGGTAGGGTTTTTGGTGGATTGTGGGTGCTCATCCCGATTGCAATGGGAATTCCTAAAGAGTTTGGTTGTTTTTTTTTTAACGTATTGTGTGTGTGTTTTTTTTAAAGCCATCCTTCATTACCGGATGTGTGTGTGGGGGTGTTCCCCTCCATTTTTCATGTGATCATTAACACTCCAGTGAACACCCCTATATATATCCTTGGCCACTTCCATTTGGGTACATTTCTAAAAGCACGATTCGCTGTCAAAAATGTGCGGCCGCTTTCAAGACGCTGTCCGCATCCCTTCCAGAAATGTACCCATGGACAACTCCCGGCTGGACTGGGGAGCGTGTGCCTTTCCCTGTGCCCGTGAGAACCGTGACCCCAAGAATGAGCTTTCCCCTTCCTGTTTGCTGACTCTGGCTTACAGATTATAAGGGCCCGCATCTCATCTCTAATCGATGCAAAAAGTGCCTGTTTTGAATGGTCCCGTCCACACAGGCCAGAACCGCAATCTGCTTCCACCCTGGCCCTGGGTCCCCTTGGACGTCTCCCCGAGAGGCACACGCACATTTAAATCACCCCGTAGCTACACTTCCTTAAGACATCAATGCCAGGCTCTGCCCCTGACCAATTAAAACAATCTCTGGGAGTGCGGCCAGGGCATTAGCACTTAAAAAACTCTCCCTGTGATTCTAATTTGCTCCCAGGACCCAGAGCCACTGCTCCTCCACCCTTGAATTAATCAGATGGGTTGAGCGAAGCCCTGCTGCCTGCATGCTTGGGCCAGACCTCTTAACATTCCTTTCTTTTTTAAACTTTTGATTATGGAAATTTCCAACTCTATGCAGAAGTAGAGAGAACAGTATAATGAACCCCTATGTAGCCATCACCCAGCTTCAACGATCACCCTGGAGGGTTTTATGCAGGGGAATGACATGGTTTGAATTAAGTGTTAAACAGGGCACTGGCTGTGTTCAGAGAGCGGATGGGAGAGAGGAGGCAGGAGGGCCGGGCTGCTGCGGGGTACTTGCTGGAGATGGGGGGGGCATGGCCTGGCCCAGAGTCCCAGCGGGGGCGGGCGGGCTGAGGCAGGGTGAGCTCGCACACCGCACACCACCTGTGCCTGGGAGGCGGGAACCCGGCTCGAACCCGGTCCTCCTCTCGCCCTCCCATCCCCAGCTCTGGACACTCACCTGCTCTCGCTCTGCCGTTTTGCGGAGCTTGTACACGAACTCGCCCACAGCCACCAGCACAGACAGGACCAGCCCAGCGGCCAGCACGATGAAGATGCCCCCGATCTTCTGGATACCCAGGGCGCTGGCCTCTTTGTTCTCCTCCTCGGGGCACCCGCTGCCCCTCCACCACTTCTCCTTCATGATGTGCAGCTTGTCCTCCTCCTGCAGCTGCAGGATGGCGATGGTGATCTTGTCCCGGTACGGGGAGCCTGAGTGTGGGAGCGGGGGTCCGGCTGGCAGTGGCACCCAGGCCACATGGTACGTGCCCCTGCCAGCACCCTGGGCAGCGCCGGCCACCCTCCCCAGCCTCCCTGGAAGCTCGTAAAGGCCCCTCTCTGAATCTTCCCACGGTGTCTGGGTGGGAGCAAGGTCCTGATTTGGGGTAGGGGGGGTCTTGCCTCGGCCCCTGGAAGGCCCTGTGGATCCGGGCTGCGTCAGCAGGAGTGAGGTCAGAGAAAGCAGGCATGACCTCTGAACTGACCCCCCACCTCTGCGCAGGCCCGCGCTGGCCTCACCAGGTTGTGACTCTACTCCTTTGTCTCTGGGTTGAAGAGATGCCACCTTTTGAGGCTCAATGGGATGAGTTGGGAGAGGCTGCAGGAGACTGTGTGCAGAGCAGACTAGGGGGTCCCGCCCATCCTAGATCCCCCAGCCGCCCCCACCCCCCGCCGGCCTGCCCGCCCGCCCGCCAGCAGCCCCTTGCTCACCCATGGGTGTGCCAATGCCGTAGCCCTTGGAGTCGATGAGGCCCCCGATCTGGGTGAGGTTGCAGTTCCTCTGGGTGACATACTCGATGGTCGTGGACTCCATGAGCAGGGCATAGTCTGCCGTCAGGGTCCTCTGGATGCCCTCCTCGTTGTTCTTTACCAGCGCCGAGGGCTTGCTGCTCATGAAGGCCCACATCTTCTCAAAGGTGGAGATCTTGGATTTCTGGGCCACGACAGGAGGGGGATGCACACAGTTACTGAGCGCGCCAGGGGCCCAGCATCACATGCCCCCCTTAACAGGGCTCTGGTCACCGAACTCTGTCTACCACCCTCTGAGGGAGGGAAGGCCACCCCTTGCTCAGATGTGGCAACTAAGGCCCTGGGAGGGAAGGTCCCAAAACACATAGCTGGTAAGGGATGAAGCCAGGATTCGGACTCAGGCCCACCTACTAGGAAGCCCTGGCTCTTTGGCCACACGGCACAGTGGTTTTCAGACTGGGTTTTAAAGAAATGCCTTCTCCTTCTCTAACATTTATGAAAGGTTTCCATGTGCTGGCCCCGTTCCGAGAGCTTTGTCTGCATTAACTCACTGATTCTTCAAGACAATCAGGGGAGGTGGGGGCTACCCTCAGCTCCATTTGACAGAAACTGAAGCCATGGCCAAGGAGCTCGCCCAGGGTCACTCAGAAACTAAGTGGCCAAGCTAGGCTTCCAACCCGGGCCACTGGCTCTCGTGTTCCCCACCACTTCGCTGCCCTGCCCCACAGAGAACCCCATGAGGCTAGAGAGGGACCCCTGCGTACTGTGTTCCAGGGGAAGACGAGGGTTTCCGTCTATGGTGTTTCATTCAGGAGCAGGTGAGGAGTGGGGGCGCTCAGAGCAGGTGGTGTGCAGGCCCTCCAGCTCCTACCGGGAGTGGCCCGGAGCATCCTGGGCTGGGCGCTGCCGTATGAACAGAACTAGCGTCCCTAAGACCAGGCCTGGTGGGTGGGCTGCCGTGCTCATCCCGCCTGGCCGGGGAGTCTCAGAGAAGGTTCTGGGGCTGGGAGACCAGGCCAAGGTTGAAGGGCCCCCCGCTGCCTGAGGCAACGGGCAGATCGGGTGCGTGGCATTCACGAGATTTCTCAGGAAATGACCGCCGCCAGCTCCCTGCTCCCTGCCGGGAGTGGCCCTGCCCTGCGGATCCCGGGGCAGCAGGTGGCTCTACAGGCCCCGTTGGACCGGGCTGCTTCCAAGTCTGGCTGTGCCTGTCTGTGATGTCAGCCTGTCTGACTGGCACCCGGCCCAGCTCCGGTGTGCGTGACGGAGTGGGGGTGCTGGAGCAGGCTGGTGCCGGGGGATGGGCAGGGGATGCGGAGGAAAGGGTCTACTCTTCTCCGGGGCCTCCCCAGCCCTGGTGAGGGTTATCCTCCCCAAAACTGGCTCCTGGAGCCCCAAGCAGGCCCAGGGGAGCAGGGAGCCCTGAAGCAGCAGGCAAGACCCCATTTGGAATTTGATGGGAACCCAGAATCCATCAAGGGCAGAGATGCCTCCTCCCGGCCTGGGGGCAGACAAGCAGACAAGCAGCCACTGTCCTACCTGCGAATTTCCCTGCCTCGATGCGGAAGGTCTGGAAGGGCTCGGATGCTTCTAGCTCCTGCCTGCCTGCAGCCATCCTGCTTTCTAGCCAGTCCCGCTTGCAACTACTCGGGTCACCACCAGTCCCTCCGGCCTCTCCAACTCTCACCTTCAAACCTGTGCTCCCCAGCTACTCCCTCTTGCCAGCTACTCCTCCCCCTCAGCTTTTCCTGCGGCCCCAGCCGCCCTCCCCTCCTAGCTACTCCTGCCTTTAAAAACATTCCCGAGTTCCTGCTTTTCTGACTCCTCAGACGTTGCTTAGTCTCTAGATAGTCTCTGATGTCCAGACTCGCCTTCTCTGGCTCCTTTTCTCCCTCTGGGTCTTTCTCACTCTGTGACTATTCCTGTCCAGACCCACTCTGGTAGGAAGCTTCTATCCAGCTCCAATGACCCCTGTCCACGGTACTCATGCCCTTGTGTCATCCCCTCCCCCTTGAGGGTGGGCCTGTCTAGCCACTCGCTTTTTTAACTGCCCCCAGAGGTGTCACTTCTGAGGTTAGGTTACAAGAGACAGACTCTCCTGCTTGCACTCTCTCTGGCTCTTCTCCCTGGCTGCTCTGATGGCAGCCAGTGGCCCTGCTGTGAGTCGCCCTGTGGAGAGGCCCACGTGGCCAGGAACAGAGGGCAGCCTCCAGCCAACAGCGAGCAGAGAACTGAAGCCCTCAGTCCAACAATGCAGGAGGAAGGGAATGCTGCCAGCAATCACGTGAGCGAGCTTGGAAGCAGAGCCCTGAGATGACTACAGGCTTGACAGCAGCCTGTCCCAGACCCTGTGCAGAGGAGCCAGCTGAGCTATGCTGCCTCCCGACCCAGTCAGTGAGATTACAGTGCTGTTGTTTTAAGACACTAAGTAACCTTCTGTGCAGCAAGAGGCAACTAGTACACTCTCTTACCCATGTACACACGAGCTACTTCTGTGCCCCAAATAATTGTTTTTTCAGGTAATCAATTCTAATGATTCCTCTAATCAGATCATCCAAGTCCAATCCTCTCTGGTGCCAGGGACGCATGCTTCTCAGATATTGGCCCTCATGGTCACTATAACTAAGTACTATTACTCCACCCATGGCTCCAGCACCCCAGCTCTTTTTTCATCCCAGTCTCTCCTGCCTTCCAAAGTCTTCTATGGGAAGCAGGGGGCTGATAAGACCATTAGGGCTCCCCTTACACCTCCTGATGCATGCATCCATCCATTCATCTATCCAACCACTCATCAATCTATCCATCCATCCATCCTCTCTCATTCATCATGTTCATGTTCCACCCCCGTGCTACCTACACACTAATTCATTCAACTAACTACTCAACTGCCTACATAGCCTTTTACTTAACCATCCATCCAACCAACCACGTTCATCCATCCATCCAACCATCCAACCAACCATGTTCATCCATCCATCCAACCATCCAACCAACCACGTTCATCCATCCATCCAATCATCCATCCATTCATCCATCCTCTCATTTATCATGCTCATGTTCTCACCTACATACTACCTACACACTAATTCTTTCAACTAACTACGTAACTGTCCACCTGGCCTTTTAGTCATCCATCCATCCATCCATCCATCCATCCATCCATCCATCTATCCAACCAACCAACCATGCATCCTCTCATTCATCATGTTCATGTTCTCACCCACATACTACTTACCCACTAATTCTCTCAACTAACTACTCAACTGTCCAGCTACTCTGCTACTTATTTACCCATCCATTCATCCATGTATCTAACCAGTCATCTATCTATTCTCTTACCCAACCATCCACCCATTTCTCTACCTCACCTCTCTTACCCACTCGCTCTCCCATGAAGCCAGTCATCCATCATTAAATCTCAAACACTGGCAAAAGTAACTTGACAATGAACCGGTCAGGTAGCCCTGCCCCACTTCTTCTGTCTCAGGAAGGACTTAGCACTCCTCTTCTTTCTGCAAACTCCTCCCTGTAGCCTCACCCAACACCCCATTCCTCCCTTACATAGGATGACGAGCAGAAACAGTGTTCTGACATTAAAGCATATGGTCTTTCCAGGAACACTCCACCATAAATGGAGACAGAAATTTCTTTTGGGGGTTGGAGGGCTATTGAGGCTGATAGGCTTTGAGGAAGACACATGAAAGCTCCAGCGGGTAAAGGAACACAATGAGGAAGAACACAAGAGAGAGGTCGGGCCAGTTGAAAGGAGAAGTGACAATACCACGTGAAGCTGGCTGTGATGCTGGTTTCAAGTGGATCTGCTCTCCCAGCCCCAGAGGCAACACATTCATACCTCCACCAGCTTTAGGCAGGTGGCTCTGAAATCTGCATCCCTAGAATGGCCACGACTGTACTTGTTCTGTAGCTTGGGGCTCCCACGCTCAACCACTTCCACTCATGGTCTCTGCTTCCATTTATGTTTCTTCCTGTGTTCCAGTGATTTCGTGATTCCAGGGCACATCCCCCCAAAAGCTCCTCTCTAGCAGGGCTGGTCTGAGGCAGAGAAGGACACACCTGGGGCCCCTCCCAGAGTCTCAGGTCCCTCACTCATCTCTTGGGCCTGGTCACCGGAGGTCTGAGTTCCTGTCACTGGCCTGAGCTCTAATCACCACCCCAGGGAACGGAGTCCCACATATCCATGGCTCCCACGTCATCCTGCCAGTCCCAGCTCCAGTGGGAATCTTACTTAATAAGCATTGCTTCAGGGCCAGTCACCCAAATCAATTAATGGAATCGTTTGGAGGAGCCAATACAGGGCGACGTGCCAGGACAGAGAAGCTTTTTTTATCAGTAAAATTGGCAAGAAAGTAAGTTTCAGGCTCACGACTTTCAATTCCAGCCTCCTCAAAGAAGTAAATTGATTTTCCCCAACTGAAGATACTTAATCTTGAGAATTTAACATTTCTGTACAAGAAAAATGTATATAGGTATATATATAAATGTATATCAATTTCAAAGGAAGCTGAATCCCAGGGAATGCGTGCAGGGAGGCAGTGGCAATGTGATTCCATGCGAGACCTGGGGTATTTTCCACGGTGGAAAGGAGACCTTTCCTCAAGTTAATTGGCTTGCTTATCCCTGGGTGTGGAGGCTTTGGCCTTATCAGATCCACATACTCGAGCAGTTAATCATGTCTCTGGGATTATTTCCGCGGGGACCAGGCAGGCTCCCTGAGTCTGTGGCCTCTGCCTGCCGCTGTAGCCCACCTTGCCAGGACAGACTCACTGACCCTTCAGGCAGGCAGTAGCCCCTGCTGTTGGCACCTGACTCCTGAGGCTTGCCTGTGTGTGCATGTGTGTGTGTGTAGGGGTGGAGCCTGCAGGCTGGCCTGGCCCCTGCAGGGGAGTCTGGGTCAGCTCTGCTGCTTGGGCTCTGGTGTCACGCCAACCCGGGTTCCAATGCCGGCCCAACTCCTGCGTGGCCCCTGCATTTTGGCCTTCCGACTCTGCTCATGCTGGGAGGCAGGGCTCTGACTCTGGACAGGCCAGCAGATGGGTCAGGAGATCCTGGAGGCTGAGATGGGGTGAGCCTTCCAGCTCAGGGGAGAGTCTGCTGAGCACCTGGAAGGTGGGGGGCTGGGCTGGTGGGCCTCTCCAGGCCCTTTCCAGGCTCTGTGGCTGCAGC